ACAAAAGTGCAAATACTTTGCTATGATTATTGTTTGTTGGCGTTGACAATATAATAACGTTCCTTCAAACATCACCAAACACTTAATTAATAAGTAAAAAGCTAACTTTTATTACTTGTATTTTGTACTACAGTTTCAGCACCATGTAATTCAATAAGAGATTTAGTTTTTGTTATCGAACATGTTGAAATTAATCAGTAATATTTTATGAAATAATGTTAAGCAATAAGTAATGTTATCAAACATGCCCTAAGAAGAATCGTAGTTGAGATAATTTACTCTGGAATCTACTTATTGCATTTGTAATATAGCTATTGACAATTAGGGGAAAAAAATGAAAACAAAAAAAAAACCCTCCTTCACTACTCTCTTTGTCTAAAATAATACTCAATATTGTGTTTTATTTTGCACTATTTTTCTGGGACATGGGAACTTTATTTATTTATTTATTTGTTTTTGTTATGTATATACTGCTTTAAACTCACAAATAAGTTTACTTTGTCGAGCTAAAATAATTAAAAAAAAATGAGGGACGAGGATAGTAGTTTTCCTCGTTATAGAAGTATTCCCATTGTCTTCAGAGAATATTTCATGTCGTAAATTATAAATTGTACAATTTACAACATGAATTATTGTTCTAAGAAAATATGATCACAGAGCTAGGTGATTTTTTTTAAATTTTTTTGGAGGAGAGGGAGGGCACTGAAAGTTATATATTTCTCTAGGACAAAACTCACTTTCGGTCCCCCAAAATTTAGGAGTTAGCGAGACTCAGTAATCACAACCTTTCCATCAACAAAATTAACCTAAAAATTTATAATTTTTTATGACTTAAGGGGGCTTTGTTAAAATTTCTGAACTAATCGGGCTATTTTTCCATTAAGTTGGGGACTTTTTCGCACATGGGAGTAAATGGACGAAAAATTAATACTAAGGATGAATTTAACTAGTTTATAATAATTTAGAACCAAATCAAGTACTAAACCATAACTTGGGATTAAAAAGCTGACGAAGGCGGAAAATAATAAAACATTAGGGTTTTTAACTATTTTGGTCTAAGGATATTTCAGTCATTTTAGTTTAGGTTATTAGGGTATTATTTTTATGTCGTCTTTTCTATTTAAGGGCTTTAGCCGACTCATTATAAGGTAGTTGTTGATTTTCATAAAAGTTGAGAGTTTATCTCAGAAAATTTTGAACTTTGATCCTATTTTTGGGTATTCTCAGAATCAACGAGATTTACGAAGGCCGTATTTTGGGTATTCGAAGAATGAACGGATTTATGACGAGTTACTTGTTAGGGTTCAAGTTATAGGCTTTCGCTGCTACAAGAACGAGTCCCCCTTCTATCCCACAAGAGATAAGGGCTTCGATAAACGGGTTCAAAACCGCAACAGTGGCAATGCCTTTACGCCACAATACCATCGGGGTACTACCCATGAATCCTCACTTGTTAAGGCAGTTGATTTTATTCACAATTCATCTTGGCGCAACGATCTGCGTATCAAGCGGATTGACGTGGTTGTAGCTCCACATTCCCCCCATCAATTCGATATGTGCTGTTACGGAAGAAGCTATCAATGATGAGGATGTTGCTGTTGGCGAAGAGGTGCAGCCCCACGGTAGGATTAGAGCTACGGACGAAGGGCATTTGCGAGAGAAGTTAAGAAGTCGTGATGAGATTTTCTCTCCTGCGTTGGCTCATGATCCTTGGGAACAATCAACTAGTTCTCTTTGTGCATCTACTATTAATGAGGGAGCTACAGATTCTGCAATAACTATTACAGATATGGAAGTGCATGCTCCAAGCGTCCAAACGCTACACCAAGATGGTTCCCGAAAAAGAAGCCGAAGATGCTACGAGAATTCAGGTTCCCTTGCTCCAGTTTGGTCCAAAACAATGTTTGATCACCCATCATAAGTCCACAGTGTCATTTATGCCGCATGGAGGCCAAATTCGTTGTAAAGCCAACCCATTTGGACAGGTTCTTTTCCCCCAAAGTTTGGCATTTACCAACCAGCTATTCCTACGTGATTTGTCCAGCCAATCTGCTTTTGAGTCCTTTGTTCATGCTTTTATCCACAATATTGAAGATCCATTGCATCTACAAGCCATTCGTACCTCCGAAAATTGGCCAAGCCATCCATTTTCTTCTTGGAGGGTGCAATGTCCTTTGCTGAGGAAAGAGATTGTTGGGATGCCATTTGATCGTGGCAAACCTATGTCCAAACTCGAGGACGAGTTTTTCTCATCTCAGGAGAATGATGAAGGCAGAAATAATAAAAGATTAGGGTTTTTAACTATTTTAGCTTAAGGATATTTCAGTCATTTGAGTTTAGGTGATTAGGGTTTTATTTTTATGTTGTCCTTTCTATTTAAGGGCTTTGGCCGACTCATTGTAAGGTAGTTGTTGATCTTTATAAAAGTTGAGAGTTTATCTCAGGAAATCCGAATGTCTTGAACTTTGGTCCCTATTTCTAGATATTCTCATAATCAACGAGATTTAGGAAAGTCGTATTTCCAGGTATTCGTAGAATCAACGGATTTATGACGGGTTACTTGTTAGGGTTCAAGTTATAGGCTTCCGTTGCTGCATCAGAAGCGGTTTTCCCACTTTTGACAAATTGTTAAATAATCGAGAATAACAGCATATCATTAAAGTGCAAATTATTTTGAGCACCCGGTGCGCTCTAGATTAGAGCGCAACGGGCTCGGCAGGCGTACGCGAAGCGCGCCTGCTCGCTCCTTTGTTTTTTTATTTTAATTTTATTTTTTAAATTTCTTAATCTTATAAAATAATTTTTGAATGCCACTTCAACGACTTTTTACACACGCAATTTATAAAATAGCCTAATTGAACTAAAAAAAGTTTAAACCGAGTAAAATACATAATGTGTTTAGTGTTTAGAGTTTAGGTTGGTTGAAAGATTTCAATTAGGTTAGAGTCTAGTGATTAGTGTTTAGGATTTAAGAGGGTTTAAAAATTTCAATTAGGTTATGGTCCAGTGATTAGGATTTAGGATTTATGAGGGTTTAAAATTTTCATCTAGGTTAGGGTCTAAAGTGTGACGTAATATGATTAACTTGTTAATTTTTTTAATTCAAGCCTAATTGAATTAAAAAATTTAAACCTAATAAAAAATTATAGTGTGTTTAGTGTTTAAGATTTAGGAAGATTTAAACATTTTAATTAGGTTGGAGTTTAAATTAGTAAAATAAAGAAAATAGTGGCAAAAAAAGGGTGAGCGCACGTCTAGGACTGGAAGTCGGGGACTTAGGGTTCGGGGATTGGAAGTCGAAGAAGAACGGGAGAAATTCAGACGGGGAATTAGGGTTCGAGGACTAGAAGTAGAAGAAGGAGAAAACTGAAAATTTCAGTTTTGACATAATAATTCTGATAATCCAAATTACACCCCTGACAGATTATTTATAGTTCGCAAGTTACAGAAAATACCAATAAGTCCCTAAACTTTCTAATCCTTACAATTTAGTCCAGTGCATGACAAACCCCTCTCGTTAAAACAGTCTTGTCCCCAAGAATGTCAATACAGAATTACTACTTGAACAAAGAAACTGAACAAACTGAAGTCTATGGACACAACCATAAATGGCTCACATTAACACTTTACTGAGATCAACATCTTAAATAAGATGAGACAAAACTGAAATGAAACTTCCCACAGCATACCTACCAAGGCGTGCCAAGCAATCATCCAAATGAAGTTTGTGTCGATGCTTACTGACATGGTTGCGATCCTTCCTTCAAAATTACTTGTACTTCCCCTAAAGGTTGTCACCCTTTTAGTCCAGCTACGATGCATGTCCGCATTGTTCCATGCTTCATTAGAAATCAATCCTGCTTCAGCTTCAACAAGAATGGTTTGAGCTGCTATTGTCCAGCTCCCTCCATTTATAAGCAAATAAGATTCACCCAGATTTGGCCTTGAAACTGATTCAGAAACGTTAGTTTTGGTAGTGCTAATCTAGTTACCAATACTCATGAAGAAGTAAGGAATATGATTAAAACTGGTGACCACTTGTAACCAGGACTTGTGTTCCCTATTTCTATTTTTAGATGCCATTCCAACATGCTCCCAATCTAAAACAAGTATTCCCGGACCCCAAACAGTACTATTTTCATTTTTGTGGTGATCATGAGCTTTGAATAGCCATTTCCAAAGGTTCAGTAATGTTGTTGCTGTTACCACTTACTGCCACTGAAGCAATTTGAGTTATGCACCCTAAATTAAGTATTTCAATCCTTCAGCTTCTTTTAGCCCCCAAGGCAATGAACATTCCATCCGTATAACACAGTATCCCTACCTGATTCTGAAACTCCAAACCAGCTTTTGAGACTTGTAATGATTGTCTTAAATATAGAAGATCTAATAGGATAAAGATCAACACCAGACAAGTCAATTTCAGTCCTCCCATAACCGCGAACAAATATAGTGACAGTAACATCAAGACCACCCAAACCAATTACTAAACATTCACAGTTTGAAGTCTCGACCACAATATTTTCTTTAACCAACACAACTTTATAATCGGTAAAATCCAAAATCACATCATTTTCTTTATTTGAACACACAGAAATATCAACCAAATTCAAATTCGAATTATCATTTGGAGCCAAATAAAATTCAGAGGATAGCTGTTTACGCGACATAAAATACCGAGAGAAGCACAAGCAGCAAGTAGTTATAGTATTCGAAACATTTCCCTGCAAACTTAGTTTTGACAGTTTCCACCCTGCTAAACATAGCCTTGTCCTCAAGGCTAAACCAGAGATCGAGAACTATAAACCACCAACCCTGTAAGTGGTAATCGAATGTGATATGATTAAACATGCTATCGAATTCAAGCAGAGTGGCAACACTTTTACTATAACATTGGTAACTAATTTTGGAAGACCTATTCTTCCCATTTTTAGTCTTTACCCGCCCCCAGAATCAATGACAAAGAGACTTGGATAGTCTTCTTCGGTCGTTATACAGATTCAAAAAGTAACTTTATCTTCCCTTTTAAGCACAACCAAATCAATCGCCAGCTTATCATTTAGTGTAAAATCCGCTTCAAAGGAGTTAAACATGCCATTTGACAACCAATCATCAGCCACTATATTACTACCATCATACTTCTGCGCAACTTTACCACAATCAACATCAACAAGACACTTGACTCCCCCCGGGTCAACCTGAAATGACCCTTTTTCAAACACCGAATTATCCACAAATTTCCAGCACTTGTCAACATTAAATGAACCTTTAACAATAGATATTCCATCCAATGTCAAAGAATTATAGTTCGATTTCATACAATCATCATTGACAGGATCATTTAAACTGAAAGATTCAAAGCTCCAATCACTCAGTTCCAGAGTCACAACCTCGATATCAGTTAAATCCAAAATCATATGATCATTTTCTTCATTCAAATACACAGGAATATCAACGTTGTGAATCACACCGTCTTTAAAAAGACTAAACATACCAACAGACTCTTCAACACAATTCAGCATACCAAAGGAAACATCACTCCATGGGACAACACAATCACTTGAAATCATTTCGCCATCGTGATTAAAAACAAATTTAGCCATAGGATTAATAGTAACCTTCACCCTATCTTTACCAACCATACTCATCGTCTCAGCAGAAACATCATTCAAAACCGCAAAACAGTCATCTAAACTCAAATCACCAACAAGTTTTTCACAAACACAGATTTCCATTTCAGATTAATCATTTCTCACAGCATTAATCGAAGGCTTACCCTCATTACCCTCATAATTCATACAAGTAACACCCACATACTCAAATGAAGAATTCATATCATCATTAACAAAGAGCATACTTCCAATAGTTTTTCCAGTACATGAATTTACAGTTCCACCCGGTTCAATATCAAATGAGTCAGAGCCAAATCCTCCATCGAAGAAATGATTTAACTCAAAAGGAAGTTCAACACAATCATCCTTGATTTCCTTAAATCCCACAAAAGTATTTAAATTCATTTCAACTTCATCACTTACTTAACTAAGGTTCTCACAAAAAACAACTACAGCTGGAATTGAAACCCCCTATCACCCGGATACACAATTTCCTCATCTAAAACATTCACATCCACAGAAATATCTTCACACTTAATAACATTCAAAATGTTCTAAGAATCTGGAAAATCACCTATCAGTTCAAGCTGCGAAACCTCTTTGATTTGGGTTGTTACCAATGATTCCGTCGATTCATCAGACGCCTCCTACACATGGGTCAATGCCGGTTGGACGGCATTCGTGCTGATCTGAAAAATCCTCCCAATTATCTAAGAGTGAAGCATATTCCATGCTATACAGAAAATTGCAGAGGCTCGCCCGTCATGTAGAAAGAAGCGGTGACTAATTTTTTATGGGAGGGGATTCGATTATAGAAGAAAAATTGTTCAATTCAGTTAAGCCATTCAGTGACACCTTCACCGGAAAAAAGGAACACTCCGGTCGGCAAAGGCTCTGGAAGACCATGGGAAGTCGGATTTGAAGGTAAAGCTTCGGAGGGAGGGAGCAACAAAAAGGCTTTAACCTTAAGTCGGTGTTCGCTGAAATTAGTGAATTCCATCAATGATAAAATGAACGGGACAAAGTAAAAGCTTGGAGCAAACCACAGAAATGGAGAAATTCGCTCAGATTTCAGAAATAGGAAGGTAGAAATGGAGTTCATAGTTCAGAAGGTTGGGAAGCAGCATAGGAACAAGAGGATGAACGGAAAGTGAAAAATGATATAGAGACGGCCGAGGAAGGACCGGCTCTGATACCAAATGTCACGACCGAGGGCCTTGGGGGTGGCCGGAAAAGCAGAACGGGAGAAATTCAGACGGGGAGTTAGAGTTCGGGGACTGGAAGTCGAAGAAGAAGGAAAAAACTGAAAATTTCATCTGATAATCCAAATTACACCCCTAACAGACTATTTATAGTCTGCAAGTTACAGAAAATACCAATAAGTTCCACAACTTTCTAATCCCTACAATTTAGTCCTATAATTTAGTCCAGGACATGACATAGTCAAATCGCGCGCACACCCAAAGGGTGTTCACGGACCGGATTGGTCCGGATTGATAGTAATCCGTAACCAAACCGTTCAGTACGGTTTTAAAATTTTTCAAACCGTAACGGGACTGGTTTGATGTCTAAACCGAACCAATGGTTTGGACGGATTGGCGGTTTGGGTTTCTAATTAGGCTTTCTTGTTTTGGGCAAAAAATTAAACATTTTTTTGTTATTGGACCTCTTGGCCTTTTCTAGGAGTTTTTTCTGTGCTTTTCCTAAATTGTTTTTGGACCTTTCTAAAATAATTTCTTTGTTTGATTTGGGAGAAAAATGGGGGAAAAAAAAATTTAGTCATGGGGGGCTCCAACTCACAACCTCAACCAAATTTAAAAGTAGGGGGAACAACAAAGCCAATCAGACAACTTGACAATTTCGTTATAAGTACTGATCCACAGCTATATATACAAAACCATTATATTATTATTTAATAATATATATACGGTTCGGTCCGGTTTGACAGACGGTTTGACAGTGTAGCGACCCGGCGGTAGGTTGGACCAAAATGGAGAAAAGGGAGAAATTGGGGGCAAGAAAGAATCCAAATTTTCATACATTTTTTCTATAAACCGATCTAAGCCGGAGTCGACAACTTTTATGCCGTCTGTTAATTTCCTAACTATTACATAATTGCAGTTTAAATCCTATACTTTCAATTAATTCTATTCGAGTCCCTCATTCCATGGCAATTCCTCCCTCTCATCTAAGTCTTGTCCCCAAGACTTCGCAATAAAATTCAAATTTGCACGGGATCATTTCGCTCCTATGAAATGTTCGTGTAGCTTGTGTGTTGAACAACTCCCTAGGAAGAAAATATCTCATAGCAACTGTCATAGCTCTTCAAAAGATAAAGAATTTTCCCGAAATGAAACCAAAAGAAGCCTTCATTAGAACCTGAAAATGCACTGCTGAAATGCTGAAATTCATGCCTCTTCTTCCTTTAGCTTAAGTCCTTCTGTTAAGTTTATCTCTTTGCTAAGGAGAAAATTTTCCTTTCGCGTTGAGCCTTATAAGAGGTTGTACTATTGTCGTCCCAAGATGAACAATAAAAAATCGGCAAATAACCTGAAAGGTTAAAACTGCCCAGCTGCTACGCTTCTCTCCATCACTGAAAACATACAAAAATTCCTTCCCAATCAGTTCATATTTGCAGTATCCTCAATCAGCTTTCTCCAAAAATACAAGTAAGCCAAAGTAATAATTCCAAGATCAGGCTGACTCATAGGAGGGACATCCAGCTTCCAGTCAACCAAAACTTGAAGCCACTTTCTAAAAAACAGATCACAGGAATGAGTCTCTCCATTTGCAAGCATGATAGGTTTCATCATAATAAAGGCTGCACTTGAAGTCATTTTACATAATGTAATTTCCTGAACGCCAAGCTTTTGTTCTTTTCCCATACTGCAAATGAATACTTGCAAAAGCAACCAAAGTGTTGCAGCAACTACATTCTTAGGGAAACATGGCAGTTGACCCCTGAGGCTTGTATAGCCAACATCCATTTCCCCTTTGAAAGAGAGTTCTCAACTTCATGTGATGAATGTTGCACAAAAACAAAAAATGTACCATTAGCGAAATCAGCTTCAGACTTGTATCTTGCTTCCATAAGGTTAGTAATGACATTACCAACATAGCAAGCCTCGTATAATTCCAAAAGCCTGCAAAGGAAACTTGACCAATACCTTCTCTCTTCCAAGAGCCTTCCTCAAGGCTGAAAAACCAGCAAAGAAATACAATCCACAGTACCCCTATAACATCTTTTGGATTAACAGTAGTAGGATTGAATGACTGTGAAGTATAAATTCCCCTATCAGAGAGATAAAGATCTAATACAAATCCATGCCCCACAGAATGCCTTGTAATCACGGTAGGAAATCTCTCAAAATGCCCAACAAGAACCCAACAGAATAATAAAGTTTCTGGCATCTCCATATGGCCCAACCATCTGTTTTAACCCTGCATGTTGCTATTGAAACTCCCTTCCCCATAAAAGTTTCCTTGTCCTCAAGGATTACACAATGTATTGTAGTATCCGCATATTCAGAGGTTTGAATTTCAGAACCAATATCACTAACAATATGTACCCAAATAGCACCAGAAACAGCCGCAAATCCTCCCCAAGCATTACAGGAAAACTACAAAATTAACAAGAATTCCAGCATCTCCAAATGACAAGACTGGAGTGCCCAACCTTGAGCATGAATTTCCAGGAGAATTTTGATGTTGTCAAACAAATAGGCGCAGTATAGTGGAAGTTCAATACACAGAGGAATATATCCTAGTTCCAGATTTAACAAGTACCTTTTTCTTTTGATGCATAATATTAGTGGTTCAACAAAACTACCACTATCTTCATTTTGTCCCCATAGAACAGACATCCTACAGACATACTTTCCTCCATTGCAGTATCACTAGATTGCTTATTAACCTTCATAATCTTAGAACTTCCTCCTTTGAAACTTGTAGCCTTTACAAGCCATGGTTCCCAGTGTTTGTTGGTTTCGTGAAAGGTCTTTTTACCGATTTCTTTTTCGCTATAGGTAGTCAGGAAACTAGAATATGGTCTTCCAAACATATTAACACTCAACAAGTTGAAACTAACTTCTTCGTCAAACATTTCATAATGGAGTTTGCATCCCCTTACTTTAGAATTTATCCTAACTTTTACATTAATGAAACAGAGCAGCGCATCTATAAGACTATCTTCTTCAAAACTTTCCCCGTCAGCAATACCTTCAAGTTTATACGAGCCATTACTACTCAAGCCAAGAAGTCCTTTCTGATCTTTCATACTCATTCTATCCACCTTATGATAGAACTCGACATATTCAGTTAACAAAACAGGGCTAGCAGCATTTTCATTCTCCGAATCACCAGCCAAAATTTCTAGAAAATGATCCCTATCATCGGTCCTATCATTATCATTAATCTCATCTAAGGTTGTAAAATCTTCACCCACAGGCAGAGAACCATCGTCATCATCTTGCACCATTTCCAACATTACAGGAACACTCTCTTCATTCAAACACATAGAATTTGCCACTACATCATTCAACATCACGGGTTTTCCAAACATAAATCACAAGTGGTAGGATTCAACAAGTTGTCATCAGTCTTAAAGTCATCAACAAGATTTTCTAAAGAAACGTCATTATCATCAGCACGAGGCAACAACTCCTCATCAATCAGACAATCAACACCAGTTTTAATACGAGAAAACTCATCATCATGAACCAATTCTTCTAAATGATGAGAAGTAATAGATTTAGCTCCTTCTGGTTTTAATGTTTCAGAAAGTGACGAATTAAAACTTGTGGACGAGTAGAATTCCTTTCCAACGTTGCTACCATCAGCCTCCGTTACCTCCTTCTGTCCTTCTTCCTCAGAAACAACAAATTGAAAGAGAAGCTCTCTTTTATTTCCGAATCTTTGAAGAAGCTTATTGTAAAAATCATTCCAAGACAGAGGCTGATTGGTAAATTGCAAAGCCTGGAACCATATTTCTGCCCTACCTTTTAGAAATGGCTCAATGTGTTCCAATTTCGAATTATCAGCCATCCGATGCAACGTAAAGAAATCGTCGCACTTTCTCAACCATCCATGAGGTTTATCACCACAGCACCTCCAGTCCGGTGTTGCGGCTCGATTGGTTAACCGTTGCCGCCAATGACTTCAATTGTGCTCTGATGTCGCTTAATCGAGCTGAGAGGTTCGACGAAATTTCCCGATGTTCTTCAATTCGAAAGCATCTCCTCCAATTGAACTGTGTGATTATAAGTAACAGCTCTCTGCTCATCAATCTGAGTCCGCAGCTCTGTCATCTCCGCCGCCTGCAAAAGTAGAATGTGCTCTCGCCGGCGAAATTCCCGGTGTGAGTTCGCCTGAGAGTGCATCGTCTCCGCCATGCTCCGCCGAGGAACGGTGGCTCTGATACTAAATTGTCACGACTAGGCGGTAGGTCGGACCAAAACTGAGAAAGGGGAGAAATTGGGGGCAAGAAAGAATTCGAATTTTCATACATTTTTTCCATAAACCGATCTAAGCCGGAGCGACAACTTTTATACCGTCTGTTAATTTCCTAACTATTACATAATTGCACTTTAAATCCTATACTTTCAATTAATTCTATTCGAGTACCTCATTCTATGATAAACAATGTCAAACCGTAATCCGGACCGATATGATCTGTTTTTAAATTTCAAATCTCCCAAATTAAAATTCACATATAATCCTTTCGTTAATCCAAAGCGAAGATCGATTTGAATTCCACCGGATTGAGCCAAACCGTAAACACCCCTAGGGAGCACCGGGTTCTGGGATTAGAGGACTTGGGCCCACCCAATAGTGTTTGCCTTTTGGTATAGAGGCATAAGGGAACCCGCTTTATTGTCATCATCTTTCATTATGTCAAATCTTGTGGAACCGTCGAGAACCAGCTTTTGTGTGGTGGAAGGAGGGGAGACAATAGTGTTCGATCCGTCGCCACCGGGACAAAGGGAGCAGATATTGGCCGAAATTCGGCGGAGATCGGATGACATACGCGCCAATGCACGACCAATAGATCCGTCGTTTGATTTCACACGGGCACTTGAAGGTGCTCATCGGTTCATCAAAGCTGAAGTGAAGAAGCAGAATTTCCGTGAGAAATATTCAACCCCACCACCGCCAGTTTCTACTATAATTGAAGCCTTCTCTGCATTATCTATATAGGAGAAATCCCCGCAGAAGCTGGCAGAGGAGAAAAAAGCACCCCAAATTGATCATTTAAGGCTATTATCGTACCAGGGAGATGCAGAGTATGATGAGTTTCGCGATCGGAAATTCGGGCTTTCGGTGAATGAACTGAAGGGTATGGTGGCTTTGGCACCTAAGAAGCTCAATGAACTGCTCTTTGCTGGCGTTGAAAACCCACGGGTCGCTCCTTTTCGTGAGGATAAGAGCGATGGCAAGATATGGGCCAAAGTACTGGAACCAGATACATGAATCTCGGGTTAGTTTGCTTAATTAATAAAATTTAAATTTTTCTTCTTATAAGTAAGTAGCGTATTGTGATCAATTTCGGGGTTTCTACTCCTTTTTTTTTCTAGGTTTATGAGGCGGATCATATTCCGGTTGAGCATCCCCTTTATTGGCGTATAGCATCACACAGACCTGTGGATTTCAAACTGACTGCTGGACCTAGATCCTTGAAGTATTTCCTTCAAATGTGTATGGGTGCTATTGATAAATTCAATAAAGCCTCCAATCAGGTACCTCTATTCGACACTTTTATTTAATTTGCTTAAAAAGATTTACTATATTCTTCCTTTTTTTGTTTTTTTTTTTTTGTACATTAGTAGATGATGTTTTCATTATTGTTGATTCACCTCCTGTACTCTTAGTAGGTTTTACATGGTTCTCATATTTGTCTCATGTAGGTTCCTGCATTTGTGGTTGTTGCCTTGGTATTGAGTGTAGAAAAAATGTAGGCCAATGCTAATAAGTAAAAATTAATAAATAAATAAAATAAAATAATACTTGAGTCGTGCTAAAGAGTAATGTCCTTAAGAAACTATTCCAATAGTATTGAAATGTCTCCCCAAGATTAAACAAGTCTTCCTCCAAATTATAGAGGGAACAGAAACAGCTAAAATAATATTTATCCAGCAAAAGAAATAAAACTTTTGATTTGAAGACGATCGAAAATAGTGATAAAATAACTAGAATTTATTTCCTAGTTTGCCAAAACCAGAAAATGAAGAAAGCAAAATGCTTTGTAGTCGTGAATGAAGAAAATGGCTTTAAAGCCTTGAACTGACGAAAGAAACAAATAAAGGAAGAATGGGATTAAAGAGAAGAGAAAATGTTTTGTTGGTGCATCTTTCTACTCACATTTGATCATCTATTTATAGTGCTGAAATTTGCAAGTTTCTGCCCCTAAAAATCAGAAAGTAAATCTCCCACTTGATTAGATTAAATCTTCCGTTGGTGGCCAAATTTAAGGATTTCAAGTATTGGACTCTTTCTTCTCTTGACTTGGTATTAATCTTTATCCTAACTATGAGTAAAACACAACCAAGTCAAAATTTAACTTTTACTTATAAACTTAGTAAAATTTAATTATATAGTAAAATCTTTTTGAAATATATTTGTTTTGTTCAACAATCCCCCACATATTTCAAAAGATTTTAAACCATAAAATTAAAATAAAGAAATTTTGCTGGATATGTTAGGGTGCAGTGCAATCAGTCTGGTGTCTTTTGGACTATGAACCAAACTTAGGTTGATAAAGCATGACTCACAGAATAATTGGTGAAATCAAAATTTCTATGAACCAAGTATTCTATTTGTAAGACAGAGGTTTTCTTAACAACAATGCAAACCCATATTTTGCTGTTCACGCGGTTTTGCGCCAATAGGCCATGCGCGCGCCTGGTTATTCATGAGAGCTCTAAAGATCCGACCATAAGATCTTATAGGAGCGGCCCTACTCTACTCTTATATAGGTGAATTCATCAAGCGTACACTGTTTTAGATACACCACTCGTAAGAGATATGAATTCATTAAGAGTTTAACTCAGCCTCACAATAGGTAGCAGTTTAAGCACCCATCACAATAGAGTTTTAACTCAAAGTGTTTCAGTGTCAATATTGACTTGTTATTACCCATATGAACCTACTTCATGGGATCTCCAATCACATAGGTTGGATTACCATCTTTATTGACAGTCAGTTGGTCTAAGTCCCATTTCCTTTGAGGTTTGAAGAATTAATTTTCTTCCCAAAGGTTTCGTCAGAGGATCGGCCAAATTCATTTCTGACTTCACATAATCAATAGAAATAACTCCATCCTTCAACAGCTGTTTTACAACATCATGTCTCAATTTCATGTGTCGATTTATGCTATTATAAGATTTCTTTTTAGCAGTATTAATTGCCACTTCACAATCACAATGCATAGAGACAGGAGACATTGTATCCTTATATAAAGGGATGCCTGCTAAGAGATTTCTTAGCCAATCAGCTTCGGAACCAGCTAACTCAAGAGCTACAAACTCTGATTCCATAGTTGATTTTGCATAAATCGTCTGTCTCGATGATTTCCAGGTTATAGCACCACCTCCAAGGGTAAACACATAGCCACTAGTGGATTTGTCTCGTCTGAATCAGAGATCCAGTTAGCATTACTGTACCTTTCTAATATAGTGGGAAATCCACTATATAGGATACCATAGTTCATGGTTCCTCTCAAGTATTTCATTAGTCTAACAATTGCAGACCAATGCTCATGATTGGGATTATGAGTATATCTACTTAGTCTACACAAAGCATATGCAATATCAGGCCGTGTAAAACTCATCAAATGCATCAGACTCCCAATAATCTGAGCATATTTAGACTGAGCAACTGGGTCACCATGATGTTTTTTTAACTTAGTGTTAGCGTCATAAGGAGTGCTCACCGGTGTCACATCAATGTTTTCAAACTTCTTAAGAAGCCTTTCAATGTAATGTTCTTGTGACAACATTATACCATCGCTTCTCCTTATAACTTTAACACCCAATATCATTTTTGCCTCACCCAGATCTTTCATATCAAAATTAGATGATAGAAAATATTTAGTACTATCTATTACATGTAAACTAGTACCAAATATAAGCATATCATCCACATATAGGCATACAATCACATTCACCATTAATACTTTTAGTATAGATACATTTGTCCACTTCAACAGAAGAGAATCCATCTCCTCTCAAGACTTGATCAAATTTCTCATGCCATTGTTTTGGAGCTTGTTTAAGGCCATAAAGAGATTTAACTAATTTACAAACTTTATTTTCTTTTCCAAAAACAACACATCCTTCAGGTTGAACCATATAAATTTCTTCTAAGTCATCATTTAAAAAGGCTGGTTTTACATCCATTTGATGTATAAGAAGTTTATGAATAGAAAAATAGTACTCGAATAGAAGAAATTATAGTCACAGGCGCGAATGTATCAAAATAATCAATATTTTGTTTTTGTGAAAAAACCTTTTGCCACTAGACGAGCTTTATATTTATCAATAGATCCATCAGGATTAAATTTTCTTTTAAAAATCCATTTGCAACCGATTGGTTTTGCACCAGGTGGTAAATCTACCAAACTCCAAGTTTTATTTTTAACAATGAAATTAATTTCACTTTGAATAGCTTCTTTCCATAACTTTGCATCAGAAGAGTTTATTGCTTCATTGTAATTTGAAGGATCATTATCAACTAGAAAAGTTTGAAAATCGTTTCCAAAAGAAAAAAGTTTTCTTTGCCTTTTGCTCCTTCTAAATTCCTCCTCAATGGGAATTTCTTTATCACATTCAATAGGGGCATGAGTATTTTTATTCGACAGTGGATAAATATGTTCAAAAAACTCAGCATTCTTTGTTTCAATAATAGTATTACAATCAAGCACATCACTTTTCAAAACAAGAAATCTATATGCAGCACTATGTTCAGCATATCCAATAAGCATACAATCAGAAGTTTTACTACCAATTTTCCTTTTCTTAGGGTCTGGTAGTAATACTTTAGCAAGGCACCCCCACACTTTTACATATTTCAAATTAGGTTTATAACCTTTCCATAATTCATAAGGTGTTTTGCCAGTCTTTTTACGAGGAACTCTATTTTGTAAGTGGCATGCATATAGTATAGCCTCACCCCATAAATTATCAGGCGCTTGAGAGCTTACTAACATAGAGTTCATCATTTCTTTTAGTGTTCTATTTTTCCTTTCAGCTACTCCATTTGATTCAGGTGAATAAGGAGGCGTTATTTCATGAATTATACCTTCTTTTTCACAATGTTCATTTAAGGCAAAATATTCACCTCCTCTATCAGACCTAACTCTTTTTATTTTTCTATTAAGCTGATTTTCTACTTCAGTTTTATAAAGTATAAATGCATTATAAGCATCATCTTTATTTTGAAGTAAATAAAGTCTAGTATACCTAGAATAGTCATCTATAAAAGTGACATAATATCTTTTACCTCCTCTAGTCATAGTTTGTTTTAAATCCCCTAATTCTGTATGAATTAGACTTAATAATTCAGTTTCTCGAGTAACACTTTTACAAGTTTTCTTAGTGATTTTAGTTTCAGCACATATTTCACATTTATCCGTATTAGTAAAATTAATACCAGAAATTAAACAAAGTGATTGCATTTTCTTTATGTAACCAATATTAGTGTGTCCTAATCTAGCATGCCATAAAGAAATAGAATCAACAATATAAGCAGAACCAGATGCATTTTCATTTATCACATTGGAAATGTTGAGGACAAAGAGTCCTTGGTTACAATAGTCTTTCCCAACGAACACATTGTTCCTGGTCATAACGATCTTTTCAGATTCAAATGACACTTTTATCCCAGCTTTCCCCAGTAAGGCAACAGAAACCAAATTTGCTCTAATGTTTGAACATGCAGCACATTGTTAAGGGCTAAATTTTTTCCTGAAGTGAGCTTCAGGACAACCTTCCCTTTACCAAAAACCTTTGCAGGCCGTGAGTCTCCCAAGTAGACAACCTCTTCATCATCTCCTACAGAAGTATAGGAGGAAAATGCTTCTCGATTTGCACAAATGTGCCGAGTAGCCCCAGAGTCTACAACCCACTCTTTGACATTAGCAGCAATGTTCACTTGAGAAATAACGGCAGCAATTATTTCATCTCCTTCGACTATATTAGCCTTAGGAGGATTCACTTTTGCATCGTTATTCCTCTTTCTCTGCCTACACTCAGCAACATGATGATTTGGCTTTCCACAGACAAAACAATTGCCTTTCTTCTTAAAAGTTGGATTATTAGGTTTGTAATTTTTGGACTTGTTATTGTACCTCTTGTTGTTACTTTGCACCAAGTTTACTTTGAGCGCAATCTTTTTGGCTTTGGCAGTCTTTGACTCCTTCCTGTTAGTATCTTCGATCAGGATGTGCGTCACCAACTCCTCGACTGTGAAGATCTTCTGCTTGTGTTTCAGGTTGTTCTTGTACTCACTCCACGAATTTGGAAGTTTTTCGATCCACACTCCTGCAGCTAACTTCTCAGGCAGTACAATGTCTTCAGCCTTCAAATCCTCGAGCAACTTCTGATATTCGTTGACTTGAGCCTTCATCTCTTTCTCTTCAACCATCTGCCATTGGTAAAATTTTCCAACGACAAACTTTTGCTTCGTGGCATCTTCAGTGGTGAACTTTTTGATTAATGTGTCCCAGATGGATTTGGCTACTTTGTAGTTACAGTACACATCAAATAAC